TCTTAACTTTGTAAGCAAAGACCCAAATATCCAGGAGGTCTGTCAACGTTATGGACAAAGGCCTGTTATTGTTAACATCAAGGATAAAGAGCAGATCCACACGTTGTTGGACACTGTGGAGCAGATGAGATGTACAAACAAACCATGCTGCTACACAGCTGTAACATTTGCTCGAGCGCAGATTGATCTGATAACTAAAAATATGGTAACTCGTAAGTAATTGAATGTTTTTTTTAATCATTAATCATGTTCTACGTTATATTCTTACAGCTACTTTATAAACTGTTCACATTTAAAGAAAATCATGTGTTTACAGGTGATGAAGAGAAGCAGAACACGGAGCCTCTCAGGATTGTGCTGATAGGAAAGACCGGCTGTGGAAAGAGCTCATCAGGAAACACCATCCTAGGAAGGAGAGAGTTTAAAGCTATGGCAAATCAAACATCAGTCACCAAACAGTGTCAGAAAGCACAGGGTGAGGTGGACGGCCGTCCGGTTGTTGTGGTCGACACTCCTGGTCTGTTTGACTCAACTCTGTCACATGAAGAAGTTCATGAGGAGATGGTGAAATGTGTCAGTCTTCTGGCTCCAGGACCACATGTCTTCCTGCTGGTGTTACAAATTGGTCGTCTCACACCAGAAGAGAAGGAGACATTAAAACTTATAAAGGAAGGTTTTGGGAAGAATTCAGAAAAGTTCACCATCATTCTTTTCACTGAGGGAGATAAGCTTAAACGTGACGAAATATCCACTGAAGATTATATTAAAAGCGGATGTGATGATTCGTTTAAGAAGCTGATTGCTGACTGTGGAGGAAGATGCCATGTGTTCAATAATGTAGAGAAAGAGAACCGCCAACAAGTCAGTGAGCTGATGACAAAGATTGACACCATGATGAAGGAAAATGGAGGAAAATGCTTCACCAATGAGATGCTGCAAGAGGCTGAAGCAGCAATAAAGAAGGAAATGGAGAGAATCCTGAAGGAGAAGGAAGAAGAGATGAAGAGACAGAGAGAGGAGCTAGAAAGAAAACACGAGGAAGAAAAGGAAGTCATCAAAACAAGATTGGAAGAAGAGAAGAAAATATTACAGCGGGAAAGAGACCAGAAACTCAAGGAGATGGAGGAAAATCTGAATAAGGAGCGTGAGGAGAGGAAGAAAGAACAGGAAGTGAGAGAAAAAGAGAACAGGAAACGGGAAGAAGAGGAAGAAAAACGTAGGCAGGATTTTAAAATGCAGCTTGAAATGTTGGACAAACAAATTCAGTCAGAAAAAGAGGAAAAGAAAAGGATTGATGAAAAGCTGGAAGAGAACAGAGAAGAGATGAAAAAGAAACAAGAAGCCTGGGAGAAAGAACGAAGAGAAGAACGAGAGAAACAAGAAGAAGAAGATGAACAGAGACGACAGGAGGAGGAAAAACGACTGAAAGAAGAGAAAGAAAAAATGCAGCAGGAAGCAGAGCTGAAAATCAAAGAGATGGAAGAAAATATTAAAAACGAGCATGAAGAGAAGGGAAAGAAAGAACAGAAAACAAGAGAAAAAGAGAACAGGAAACAGGAAGAGAAAGAAGAAAGATGTAGGCAGGAGTTTAAAATGCAACTTGAAATGTTGGACAAACAAATTCAGTCAGAAAAAGAGGAAAAGAAAAGGATTGATGAAAAGCTGGAAGAGAGCAGAGAAGAGATGAAAAAGAAACAAGAAGCCTGGGAGAAAGAACGAAGAGAAGAAAGAGAGAAACAAGAAGAAGAAGATGAACAGAGACGACAGGAGGAGGAAAAACGACTGAAAGAAGAGAAAGAAAAAATGCAGCAGGAAGCAGAGCTGAAAATCAAAGAGATGGAAGAAAATATTAAAAACGAGCATGAAGAGAAGAGAAAGAAAGAACAGAAAACAAGAGAAAAAGAGAACAGGAAACGGGAAGAGAAAGAAGAAAGACGTAGGCAGGAGTTTAAAATGCAGCTTGAAACTCTGGATAAACAAATTCAGTCAGAAAAAGAGGAAAAGAAAATTATGGCCGAAAAACTGAAAGAGAACAGAGAAGAGATGAAAAGAAAACAGGAAGCCTGGGAGAAAGAACGACGAGAAGAAAGAGAGAAACGAAGACAAGAAGATGAAGAGAGACGACAGGAGGAAGAAAAACGACTGAAAGAAGAGAAAGAAAAAATACAGCAGGAAAAAGAAAAACATGAAAAGAAAAGAAAAGAAGAAGACAAAATGAGGAGAGAAGAGGAGAAGAAAGAACGAAATCAGCTGGAGGAAAACTATAAAATATGTGTGGAAAATCTGAAGAAGATGCATGAAGATGAGGCCAGAAAGAAAGCTGAAGAGTTCAATGACTTCAAAGAGAAACACAACAAAGAGTTTGCAGCTCAGAAGGAGGAGCACGAGAAGAAGGTTAAAGACAAAGATGAGAAGTATGACCTGTTAAAGGCTCTGGCTGAGCACACTGAAAAACAAAAGAGAGAAAAGCATCTTGGAGACATCAGTGCTGTGGTGAAGTGTCTGTCTAAGAAGAGAGGGAATCTGGAAAAAATCCAAGAGTTGCTGATAAAACATGAGGATCAAATGAAGAATGAAAAAAATGAGGAAGAAAAAGAAAACCTGCAGAAAATCCATGAAACTGAAATAAGTGAACTAATACAAAAACTTCTGGATGAAGCTGAGACATCTTCCTGCTGCATTTCATGAGATTTGTTTCCTACTTTTAGTGACAGAGCTCAGCTGGATAAAATACTTTCTGTACATTAAAAGTTGAGATAAAGAGATATTTTATGGTCAGTTTGTAAACATTTTACAATTACAGATGGAATTCTTGATTTATCTTTGATATTTTCAGGATTGTTTCATTTTGTAACTTATATGAGTCAATGATGTCAATGATGCATGCAGGATGAATTGCTGCCGTGTAACTTAAGGTTTTAGAAAATATTTGAAACGCTGTTTAATTTTTTGGTATATTTTATTTAGATTATTGCAGGCACCAGCGTATTAAACAATAGAAGAAGCTTATTAGATATTTGCATGCTTGCTGTAATTAGAAATATTTAGTATTAAATAAATATAAGTATGTCCGTCTAAGAAGAGAGGAAATCTGGCAAAAATCAGAGATTTGCTGACAAAACACAAGGACCAAATGAAGATTGCAAACATCGAGGATGAAAAATAAAACCTGCAGAAAAAGCATGAAAAGGAGATCACAGAGTTCATAGAAAAACTTCTGAATGACTCTTCCTGCAGCGTTTCATGAGCTGATTAAAATTATTGTCAGATTTCAGCTACATGGACAAATGATTTTCGGTGCATTTAATACAATTTGTAACATTTCAGCACAAAATACTACGTTTGGAGTACGAGAATGCAGATGTAGCTGCTGGTGCAGTAAAGGAGAGTCTGTACTACATTA